TATTATTTATTAAATGTTTTTGTGTATTATATACGGCATCTACTCGTAGTTAGCATTAGGCTCATGCCACACTGAGTTTTAACCGGAATCAAACAGTCCCGATAAAACGCTTTAGTGTGGCGTCTATAATTAGAACCAATGTAATCGAGCTTACTCGGACCTGTCAAACCGGCATAGTGTGGCATGTACGCGTACATTTGTCGCAAACTTATCGGTATTATTGTCATGATAATGTACTGTCGTGACTGTCTGTCGAATTAGGCTTCATGTATTGGCTCGACAAGATAAGAGAGTAAATTGTTATTGGAAATATTGTGAAAATAGCGACCAAAGTCAGTTGCTCCTCGACCCCCCCCCCACATTTTGCTGCGGCCCTAATAATACCTAATTATTATTAAAAACGGTCGTGTTTCGTCGTGGAAAATAATTTTATTACTTTGCAATTATCGCTTTCATTCTGCGTTTTTACTTGTATATTAGCTGGTTAAAAAATTGAATAAGTGAAACAAATAAAAATAAAAACAATTTTGGAAATTGGTACCAAAGGAAGACTTCCCTACAACGCGTGATCTTGCCCTCGCAGAATTCAAGCAGATTTGGATCTACGTATATTTGCGTATAAGTTTTTTCTACTTGTGTAAAAAACAAACATCGCAGTTCATCGATTGCGCCTCATATTTCAGATTTGATGCTATTTTCAACATCGGATTTATCAACGGATATTGAAAAATTATTAGCAAATAAGTTCTTTCGTAGGTCTCACTGAAGGTAATTTTTTTTAATTTTTTTTTTTCGATATTATTAAAACATGCTCAATTTAAAATATTGTTTCATTTAATTACTTATATAATTAAGTTGTATTGAATGAAGACGAATCATCAGTGTAATCAAGTCTTGTCTGTGAGATAGCTGATCAGCTAAAAGTAATTGCAGTTATTGCTTCCGAAATAAATCGGGCAGCTTTGGTCTACAAGTTTTGCCCACACATCGTGTATCCAATAAGAATATAATCGGTCGACGTGGGTGCTAGAGTTATTTTTACTTATAAAACAACGGAAACACCCAATCGATACGACCGATGTGTCTGCAACGCGCGTGACTTGCTGTTGGTCGCAAAGTTAAAAATTCAGAAACGAAAACCGTGTACACCTTGTACGATTCGCTATTTCCGTAAAAAGAATCTTGGATTGTTTTTTTTTTCTATTCCAATCTGTACATCATATGCGTACACGTATACATCCCGCAGCAGCGTGAGGCGATCGACTGAATAATTTTAATACGTTTTACAGTAATATTAAGGAAACATAATACGTAGACCGGACTTGTGAGCTGGAAGGCTTCGAGTGCATACAACAAACGGGAGGCACTTAAAAAAAAATCGATTGACATAAAATATCTGAAGTAATTTTTCAATACATATTATAATACAAAATAATAATAATAATAGAACGAGTTGAAAATATGTCAATTTCCAGTGGATTTGGTTTGTTATGATTTCGTTTGGTTCGAAGTTTAATCATAAAAATGTTTTCGGTGCATATGTCACTGAGAGCATTAAGAAAATCTAGGACCTGTGCGTTCGAGACGTTTAAAAAAATCATGACTTTGAGATCCCCAAGCACTGCTCGGTAGTAGACCCTGGCATCCTCATTTTTATTTTTTATTTATTTTTTTTATTTCGGTCGAATAGTTCAGTTTCACTACACGTAATTATTGAATCGTCATGTGCGCGGCCGTCGAATGAATTAAAAAATCAACACGTATGTTAACCATACACACATATACATGTAAACATTTATTAACATAATGTAATACGTTCAATCCTTATGAACGCGTAGCGTTGGACGTGCAATAATAATAATACGTGGTGCGTATCGAAAAATCAAATCAAAACTCTACGGGTGGAAGGAGTGGGGGGGAAATAAAATAAACCGCAACAAGCCTGACCGTGTCTCGGAGCGCGTACACCGAAGTAACAGTAGCACATGCGTACATATGTATATACGTATATGTTTGGTACACATGCATAGAGATAGAATTTTGTTTTAAATTAACTTCAAGTCAATTTGTGTGTTATACGCACGAAATTCCCTGAGGGAAATGTCGAGTAGCATCGGTGTGTATACGTATACATGGTGTACAGAACGCCTTTTGAACCGACAAAGGGTTTCCGTAAATTGCACAAACCGACACGAGCGCACAAGACTTTTCTACGATATCGCATTCGTTCCATCCGCCGCCGACACGATCGAATGTTTCCTACACCCCTGCGAAACGGATTATTATCGTTATTCTTATTAACAACTACTACTACTGCCGTCGGTTTTCTTGATGAACACGGTGATTTACGCAACGGGGTTTAATTACGTACCAATTCTACCCGTCGTCGACACGAAATGTTTTTCTTTTCCGCGCCGTACACAACACCAGCAACAACGATAACAATAATATTTAATGCTAAGTATTATCATAGTCACGCATACAATTAGCGTATGTTATTAAGTCGAAACCAATGCGCGCGCGCGCACACGCGAAGTACATGTACGGTTTGTGTTCGTAGTTGGTTACGTTTGTACACATGTATTATATCGTATTTTATACAAAACTGCGAGACAAAAGAATCGAGTTTATATTCTCTCCGACCCGTTCGACAACGGTTGGCGCGGTACCTAGAGCAATAATATACGAATGTGTCGAGTGCTCGTCGCGTATAATGCCACAAACGATGGGGGAAAAAAAAAAACGAAAAAGAAAAATTTAACTTACGAACATGACGCACGCTTATAGGTTACAACAATAATAATTATTATAACAATATTAATTATTAATGCCGTTATTAAACGTTGAACGTATTTTGTTTCTAATAAAATCATAATCTCACCGTAACAACGGTGTACAATACTACGGTAAAAGGTGCACACACAAGGTACAAGGTTTGAAAGCAAACGTAACAATTGAATGAAAAAAAAAACGGCATACATATACTCATATAAATCGTTTTAATGTTATGTTATTCAATAATATTGAAATATGTACGCACGTTTTTATTGCGGTGATTGGCCAATTAGATATTATAGAACTACACAAGTGGTTTATGGAATACTAAGAACACAATTAATTAACTTTATAATGTATCATATGTTTATCAGTTTCGTTCGTGCACTGCAATACGTTACGACTAAAATGATTGCGTTTCCGTTTTAAAAAAAAACGTTTGAAATCGATTAACTGTAAACATTATGTATCGTTATGACAGTTTTTGTTTTCGAAAACAATTAAATTTCGTTGACATTTTGTTGTTCGAACAAGTACGAACATTAATAATCGTGTTCAATCGAAATCAGTGGGTTTACAGTCCGGGAAACCAATAATTGCGCATAAAATGATTATTTTTAGTGTTTTACCGTCAGTTTTATTTTAATAATTTTTTTTTTTTTTTACGCGCGTACGTTTGGCATTAATTTTTCTGACTCAAAACGAGTGGTGAAACAATATGAAGAAGCCATTGTTATCATTTCGAATCAATAATAAAAACAAAAACTGTTTTAATTTACATTGCGCATGAACAATGCGATAAAGGAATTTTGTAAAGGACACACGTTATTCTCTCCTTGGTGCAACGTTGGAAAAAAAAACCGTTTCCGATTGTACCTACGGTTGAATTATTAATATTTTCTGAACACCTGGCAAGTGCTGTGTAGTAGTGTATTGTGTAGGTATACCACATTACAATATCCTCGGAACACAGAACGTGTGCGTGGAAACCGGCTTACAACATAAAGAGGTTTATTTGTGTTCCACATGTACAAGTATTTCGAACCGTTCGCGATTGCTATATAATGTCGAACGCCGTTTTGCATTCACGGTAAACAAATAAATAAATAATTCTTTATTAAATTGATTGGTTTTTTTTCGTTTTCATTTCGATCTGTTATTGAAACTCAAAACGGTTAATATTATGTTAATCACGCACAGGAACGATAAAATAAGCTATTACGGATAAAAAACAATATACCGACTGAAACACAAAGTATTATGACTTGCTGTACATATTTAAAACACTACGACGAACGAAACCGATTGGTCGTCGTTGCGCATAATACGGTATTCGACACATCGAATGCCGATTTTACTACGGTGTATTCATTTTATACTACACTACCTACATTATTATCATACGGCTATTTATTATCCGTGTATAGGTCGCATAGGGTGGAAGGTATATTTATTTTACACCCCTACTCGAAAAATACACTAAATATTACCTGGGAGTTAAAACAAGGATTATCGCACCTAATACAAGTATTTATTTATTTTTTTTTTAAATTAACATAATATAATTTTTAAAAACTTCTTGAAAATGTTAAGATCATAGACGCATAAAATAACTATTTTTTGTGTCCGCCCGCGCCGCCGCCGCCGAAATCGAAGAGTTAGTCACAAAACACAGATCCGGCGTTTCGATTTTCGGTGGCGGCGAGATAAACAAAACAGCGTTATCGGCACGCACGACAACGGCCGCACGCGCCGACCAGTTACTAATAAGCAATTATAATTATCCAATTTCCAATCAATTACGATATTAAAATTAAATAATTTACATATTATTTAATTTTAATATCGTAATCAATGCAAAAGTTCGTCGCAGAACACGGCTCCGGCGTTGGGCTAATCTCGGTCGGCGGGCTATAAAAGAGCCGCTTCGCGACCACGTTATTCACTTCTTCTTCCGTCTCGGTAGTAGTAAGACCCACCCGCGGCAGACTTGCGCTATTCGAGACGGAAGACATGCACCACCAGGCTGTGATTTGTTGACGGTAGTAAGACCCACCCGTGGTAGACTTGCGCCTCAACATTTCACATCACTGGTGGGCATTCGGCACCATCGCCGACTCCGTCGCACCTCGTCGTCATCCTCATCCTTTTTGCAAAGAAACAACTATACTACATACATTAGGTACTAAAAAACAATATTTATTTAAAATCATAATCAACAATAGGTTATCATTCTAAATAATAAATTACAAGATTCTTAGTAATTTTTATAATTTTATCCCGGTAAACATGTAGCAAACATATCAAATTATGTAAGGGGGGAGGGGTGGCGATCGTTAGATATTGCTGTCACATAGGTGTGTTCACTGAGGAAACTCGAAAGAAGGGACTTGTGTAAAATCGATCGGTGGCAATTCGTAACGTGCGTCGTAAAGGGAAGCGGGGTCGACAGGATATACGTATCCGGACGGAATGCCCGGGAACGTGTAACCGTCCTCGACGCACCATCAGCGCTGTTGACTTTGATCGTATTCAATCAGCTTGTACTTGACCAGGACGTCGTGCATTTCTTTCTGGGCCTGTATGGCCAATCGTGGTTGCAGCATTTCCAGGGATGTGCTTATGTACCTGGAAAACAACTCGGCCGACGATTGCTGTTGTTCGTAATGAATTATTTTCGTCGGAGGATAATCTGTGGTGCTCGAGTGCGATCTTTTAATCGCAGTGGACGTTCCCTCGTCACCGCTGCCGTTGTCCGCGTAAAACAAGTAATTGCTGGAATCTTCTTCCACGTAATCGACGGACTGGCAAAATATATTGGTAAAACCGGGAAAAAAAAATGAAATCTTATTATTGTTGAATCGAAATTCGATATAGTTTACGTATTCGGAAGAAAGTCTACCACTAAAATTCGTACTTGTACATTGCAATGGTAGACTTTTAACATTTTTTAAAGGATGTAGGTCAGCTAGAATAGAAATACCTGCCTTACGCACAATGTTGCGGGAAGGTTAGTGTTAAGAAAACCCAAGACTTGTTCGTTTTTGAAAAAACGGTTATTGATCACCAGGCACGTAACCAGATATTTTTCCATAAAGGGGGCCAACATTTTTTTAGCCCCTTTTTGTAGTTGTGTTTATCAAATGTGCGTTCGATATCCGTATTCCTAGTTTTCAATATATTAATACACGTACTATTGTCTTATCTAAAATTGTCAAGTGACGAATATTTATAAAATAGAATCTCAGAATTTAATTTTTGTTATACGATCGTTAATTATATGGAATGGGCACATGTAAACTCCACCACAAGTACCTTTTTTTTACTGTAAACTCTGCCAGTAAAGAAAATCGAGTAGTAGTATAAAATTAATATGATATATTATTAAAAGTAATACGTAATAAGTAATAATAAGTGAATATTATTATTATAATATTATATAATATCATACCTCCATTTTATTTCACCAGACGCATATTTTATATTTTGGTTATATTTGTAGTTATTAAATAAAACCAATAAATTGCCTCGTTGACCAGTAATTAATTTTAAATTATTACTTTGTTGCGACATATTTCATTCAATATAAAATATACACGGATACACGCTGACTACGAATGATTATGTTCGTCAAAGTATACTTTACGTATACCTTACCTACTATCGATATCATCATTGGAAATTATAATTTCAGATAAAATGAAGATAAAATTATTAATAAATTAATCAATGTGGATATATATCCACTTTGAAATGAATCGAACCATGATAATAATTTTATTAATTTCGACATACATCATCGCAATAAATGTCAACGTATTTAATGAGAGAAGGCACGTGGCAATGTGAGCACTGAGCTGGTAAATAAAAAAAAAAAAACTGGAGGAGTTTACATATACCCATTACAGGTAAGAAAAAAAAACTGGCGGAGTTTACACTAGACCTTGTATTATATTTTTATCTTAACAGATATTCTAGCGGAGTTTACAATCGCCCACATGGAATATACATTCAGGATTTAGCCGGTTTGGGACAACTAAACACCATAATATTTAAAAATCAAAATCAAGGGGGCTAGGTTATCATGTTTAGGTCTACCCCCCCCCCTAGACGACGTGCCTGTTGATCAGCGAAATCAAACGAAATCTGGGCCGTTCGAAAGGGAGCCGAATGGGATTGCTGCGTATCGCGCATATTGTTACTCACCAATATCTCGGCGGCGGACGGGGACGAGTACAGGCGTTTGACGGCCGCGCCGCCGATCATCGAGTCCATTATCGGGAACCACAAGAGCTTGGGCACGTACGGCGACGGGGCGTCCTCCTGCTCGTGCTCCTGCTCTCCGGGCTCCTGCTTCAGCTGGAGCAGCCGCTGCTCCGAGTCCTTGATCTTCTTCAGCTCCTGCAAGTACGTGGACCGTATGTTCTTGATCTTGCTGGCCACCTCGGGCACGCCCAGACCCTCCACGGCCATGCCGTCGGCTATGCGCCGGTACGCCCGCAGCCGTTCCACGCGCTTGTTGTACGCCTCGTGCTCCTTGTCCCACAGCAGCCGCTGGTCCCTGTACAGCTCGACGAACCTCAACGTCATCTTCTCGTTCAGCCGCACGTTGATCACCGACGACATGACGACCGCGATCGATGCACGTGGCGCGGGCGGGTGGGCGGGAGGGTGGACGGGGGTGGGTGGGAATAGAAAACTAAAAATCGTAGTCGAGAACGGCGGCTAGGAACGCGTTGCACACGACCGGACGCGAAACACCGAGTACCGACGCCCACGCTCTCTGCGGCCTCACTGACGCCAGTGCCGGTCGAGGCGGCGGCGGTCGAGTGCTCGAACGCTGAGCCGTTTATCGTGACCGTTTTTTTTACCTCCCCTACTCGTCTCGGACTCGCGGGTCACGCGTTCGGAGCACGACGCGTCGCAAGAACGCCATCACCGGTTGACGCGTTTTTTTTTTCCCGCCCCGTACAAATATCGTTCGCGTCGTGTTTCGCGTCGCGTTCCGCCGCGCGATGATTTCAACTGTTCAACTATTCTCTTTCGCTCTCTCTCTCTCATTCTCTCTCTCTCTCTCTCAATTTTTCCGCGATGATCTTTTTTTTTTTTTTTCCTAACTCTACCATGTCACTCTCGTTTAGTCGCCCCGCCGCGCCGATCTCTCCCACACACCGCCGTCGATAGTGATTTATTTCCCCGTTTCGCGCACATTTCGATCCTTGCCGTCTCACGTCGTCGGGGCCACCAGCGTTTACCAGGATGGCCGTAGATCACCTTTTTTTCGGCCACTGATCATCGTTCGCGTTCGATCCGCGACAACGGCTGGCTACGACTGTTGCGTCCGTACACCGTTCGATGATTCGCAACACCGTACCGCGCGTAACACACGTCTGTGCCCGACCGCTAATCATCGGTTCCGATCGCTTTTGGGCTTTCCGTTTTTCCCGTACTCGTGCATACCCGTCGAAAGCGTGGATAATCCTTAAGGTCGGTTGGCTGCCGAACGACCGATTCGTTTTCGTTGTGGTGCGCAAGCAATTGCTAATTGCTCGAAACGTTCCGATTAATTGTTACGCGGTAAAAAAATAGCAATTTCACTGAAACCGAACCAGAATGGTTTCGCGTCTACTAGTACGCCTCTTACTAGCGCGAAATAATACTTGTATGTTTTCATCGGTATCGATTTTAACATTATTGTACGAACGACGTATTACGTAATTCGTACGATATCGAATTCGCCTGCGCGCGCGTGCGAACATCTGGGCGAGACGCGCTGCGTAAGAAGAATTAAAAATTTACAATTCAACACTAGGTTGGTACGATATAATATTATTTTTGTAAAATACAATACATCACGAATAAAACGGTACTTCAAAACAGGATTAAAAATATCTTAAAATGGTTATTCAAATGTACATTGTACGTCAATCGTCCGAAAACGAAAAGAGAAAATAACGTGTCCGATATAGGTTTTTTAGCACTACGTTATACATACGATTTTTATATATATTATACGGTGTATTATATTATACGCGTGAGAACTGCACAACGTTGTGTTGTGTAATATTAAAGGTTTTAAAAAACATTATTTTTTATTTCCGTGAATATCTAAACGGAAATTATTATTATATTTTAAATCGTTATCAATACTACTAGTTTGTTTTTTACCAAATCGACTTTTATAATAAATATTTATCGTTTGTTGTTGTTTTATTGTTAAAATATTATTAATAATTGAAAGCCTGCACTACGATATCAAACTGCCCAAGGTAAAACGTAATCGAATATAATGTACAACTGTATAACTGTACAATCAAAATAATACACTCGGGTTGTGAAGAAATGTTAAGTCTTATAAACATGATTGTTTAAAAATAAAAAGAAAAAAACAAATTATTTTAATACGCTTGTTCGAATTGTAGTAAATAATAAAATCTAACGTCCAGAGTTATTAGTTAAATTAAGTTCTGAGCATATGAGACAAATAAGCTTATAATTTATAGAAAATGTTTCATTTAATATCATATTAATTTTAAAAATATTAGAATAATTTAGAATAATTTTTGTACACGGACATAATAAAATTTTTTGACTTTTTTAATATCGGTACATACAATCTATGAAAAGTATATTACACTTAACTATTTAATTGTGTTTTTTTCGTTTTATCAACATCTATATTAATGTATTCATTATGTCAATATGTATTTATGTTACATTTAAATTATATGTGCTTGTTTAATTATTATGTTTAGAATATTTATATTAATCTCGATTCATCGTTTTTTGTTCATTTATATCTATTATGTTCGTGACATACATTATATTTATACTAAATCATTAGTATACATATGTACTAATGTGAAGATTAATACTACATCGTTTAAAAACTTGAATTATTAACACCACTGATCATAATAATCAACAATGTAATTGGAATATTTTATTTCAAAATAAATTGATTAATAATATGAAATGATAATTTTTCGATAAGAAAACAATAGGTACAATGTAATAATACTATTACGACAAAACTAAATTATGCACGTTATACGCTTGTACGTCCAAGCACATAATAGTATTGTTATTACAAATTGTTATTTTATACCACTGCATGTATATACTTCTTATTTACATTCATAGTGCACACCAAGCGCATTAAATCATTAATATGAATAATTTTTTAAACGAGCTGTCCGCTTAAAGCCTTTGAAGACAATCAACCAATTATACCAACTGGGCATTGGACGATCGATGATTTAATATTTTCGTTTTGTAAACAATTTCGTCGACGAACAATGGCCGAACAACGTATCGATAGTACGATATCTGAGTGTTTGTTAACTCGGAAATCAAATGTTTATACATATTCATACCATCGGCATCGTTATATTTCTTTTAAAATGATTGTTTTCTTCGGAAACCGTTCGCTCGGATTTTTTTCTCGAGTGCCATTACAATTATTCTATAAAGTCGTCGACGTATTGCGTATCGCGATTCAAGTAATATTTAGATTTTGTACATTTACTGCGTTCGAAAGAAAATGTATACCTAAAAAAATAAACCCTGTACATTAGTTTATTTTTTTTTCCGTTAGCTGTTTTTGCAGGGGGGAAATAATAAAAATAAAAATGTATCTAATACGAAACGTACGATTTTCCAAACCGACGTTGTTCGCGTCGAAAAACGTACATTGGTTGTAGTAGTACTGTTGTTTAAAATCAATGTCAAATGATTATACAAATCGTTGTGAATCGTCACCATCAGGAAAATTATTCGATCAAAGCCATTATTGGATATAATGGTACATAATAATGCAAGTCCAACATAAAACGCGATGGTCGGTAAACTTCCGATACGCAATACATAAAGTACGACGATATAATGTAATGTAAAAGAAGAAAATCAAACGAAATGTTTTAATGGTTGGAAACAAACATATTTCAGAGTCACACAAGTTTTCTAATTAAAAAAAAAAAAAAAAGGAATAGGAAAAAGAAAACAATAACAATAAATAAATAATAAACCGAAACAATATAAAGTTTTTATGTACTTTGTCGGAGTGAAAAAAAAAATAAAATAAAACCACTGCGATGAAAACTAGATTTTTTTCACGAGTGAAAAAACAAAGAAATGATAAAATAAATTTTCACGGACCGTAAACGAATGACACTCGTATATTTCAAAATTCGTCGTTTACGAATGTGATAGCGTTAAGTTTCCTCGTTCCCTGTCGTTTTGGGAACGAACATACGCGCGTACCAACATCGGTAACAACGGTGACCGGTGGCGTATCCAGGATTCATTTAACGGGGGTGTTGTTTTACGATTTAATCAACTTATGACATTCGGGGGCTCTGCCCCCCCCGTATTACATTAATAAACACCATGTATTTATATAAATTATTATATTAAGACAGTAACTACATGTAAGATCTACAAGTTGAGTACAACGTTTAATCGAATTGTACTGTAAGTTTGCAATTTGGTGAAATACCATAAAATACAGTTGACGGGGGGTGTTCTAACACCCAAAACACCCTCCACCCCCTAAATACGCTCCTGACGGTGACCGTAATCGGACAGACGAGAAACCGGTCAGCGAGTGCGCGCGTCACGACGGTGTGTACCATCGATTTTATTTCTTTTCCTCTACATTACCATTATCATTACAATTATTATTTTTCAATTTTTTTTTTCTCATCCAACGATTTCCGGAATCCGGCTGGTCCGATAACGTCCAACGTTGCCGGCTCGCGGGGCGCATGACGCGATCGCTGTTCTCGGCCGTTACGTTATCGTTTCGCCGTCATGGGCGTCGCGCACCCGACGAAAATATCGCGAGAACACGTCTCGCGTATTGCGTTACTGTCTGCGGGTCGTAACCCACCGCCGCGGGACGGCGAACGCGATCAATAATACGATTCGAACGCATTTGCAGGCCTTCCGGCAGCGTCAACGGATAACGTATTTCTCGGACGTCCGTACTCGGCGGTGGCGGTTAGAAGGTTGGCGAGAAACGCCAAACATTCCGGAAAAAAAAAAAGAAAGAAAAACCAAACAACCCACATTGTCCACCGCAACAATATCCGTATTCCTGCGCGCTGCACGTGAAACGTTAATTTCATGCGACCGCCCGAATGGTTGACGATCGAGATTCGTCAGAGGACGTTACGCGAAGACGGGCATTTGTGAAACCAACGAGATCAAAAACCAACAACCGGCCGGGTTATCGAGTGGGCCCGGTGGCAACAACAAACGCTGTTTTGACCCGCGTAGCGTTTGTTGCGGTTGCGCTTGTCGTGCAAATATTTTACATTCGGATGTTGTACCGCGATCAAAACTTGACGGCCGCTCGCCACTGGTCCCGATATTTCAGCCGCTCGGAGACGATGCACAGTCCCCGGCAATAACGTACAGCGGTACTCAAGGCCGTATCTGGACATTTTTTTCTTCGGGAGGAGTCCAAAACATGTACATTGTAATTTTATTGAATTTAGATTTTAACTTTTGACATTTGGTTAAAAATAAGACAGAAAAAGATTTAATCTTCTTTTATCAAAATTAATATCATATTTTCATATGATATTATTGTATAAAACTAAAAGCAGTCAATGGTTAATTGGAGCTTAAGTCATTTTTGACTGAAAATATTTATGTTGGTATTAAAATTAAATAATTATTTTAAACGTTCGTAAAATAATGAAGAAATTTCGGGGGGAGGGGGGGTCCGGACACCCTGGACCCACCCCTCCAGATGCGGCGTTGGTGGTACCCGTATCGTGTCCGCGGAAAGCGTGTGTTGCGGACGACGTCGAGAGAGCACAACGGTCGTTTCGAGATGGCGACGATCTACTCGTTCGGATGAATAATGAAGCGGATTAGAGAACCGTTGTTCGGCGACAGGGTACATTTATATCGTTTTTTCGCTTATTGCGGAGCGAAAACCAAAAAAGACGTGTTATGATTAAAACGCGAATGGGTTACTGCGTTTCCGATACGATTGTACTGCGTGCGCGGCTTGTTACGTGGTCTGGTCGCAAACCGAACGGACGATGAAACCATTGGAAACGTCGCGAACCGAAACATAATACTATTACAATCACGTACCCACTTAGATTGTGTGAATATTATTTTATAATTGATCGTCTCGGGGCGACTATTAAACTATTTAACGTGACAAATCACGTTAAATTACATTACTTTGTGAAATACTGAATGTGTCTGATTATTTTGTTCGCGTTAAATTTGATTAACGTTTTTTTAATTTTTTTTTTTTTTCTTACACGCTGTTGCTACTAATTCGACAGCAGACGTATTCTAAAATAAATCCGACCCGTTCGGTGCCAAAATAAATTTCAACGTGGCAACATATGAACGCGATTCCGATGTCGTCGGAAACGTTACCGGAACGTAAAATCACATCAAATCAAAACGGTTTTTCGTGAGACAGCGGCGGTATTCGAACGCCAAAAACGTATTCAAAACGAAATCGGTGTGCTAATCTTTTCACTCCATAACAATAAATCAATGTAATCAATAAAGTTTTCTAGAACACTCCGGAGTACGTGTGATCCAACTCTGTAGATACTGCAACATTATTTCGTACTACGTAGCCGGGCGTACACCACTTGGGCGAATCGACCCAAACTATAGTCTGTTTGGGCAAATATATATATATATCGT